GACAAAGCATTCCAAAACTTAGCTGAAGCAGCAAAGAATGCTCACGACCAGCAAGTGAGGAAATTGTGGCTCTCCTAACACTGTTAGAGTGCCACTCCCATCAGCCCTTATAGAAAGGTGTAGAATAAGAGGGGATGCAACCCAGCATCAGGGATATTCCATTTGGATAATTTTCTGTTCTGGACAGATGCCTAAATGTCATTCACCTAGGAGAAAGGTCTAAGCTTGAAGGCTTTGTGGCTTAGCTAGGCTTAGCCATAGCCAGTCTTCCTGTTCAGAAAGGAAGCTCCCAGCTGATACTGGGACCAGATAGGCGGGAGATAGATAGATAGATAGATAGATAGATAGATAGATAGATAGATAGATAGATAGACAGACAGACAGACAGACAGACAGACAGACAGACAGACAGACAGACAGACAGACAGACAGACAGACAGACAGACAGACAGACAGACAGACAGACAGACAGACAGACAGACAGACAGACAGACAGACAGACAGACAGACAGACAGACAGACAGACAGACAGACAGACAGACAGACAGACAGACAGACAGACAGACAGACAGACAGACAGACAGACAGACAGACAGACAGACAGACAGACAGACTGGAGCAGAGCTAGGTCTTCTTATGTCACAAAACCTTCAAGCTTAGGCCTTTCTCTCAGGCTAGCCACATTTAGGTGTCTGTCTGTCAGATGGAACTCCCATAATGAAGAATTATGAAATCTGTAGTCCAAACATTCTGAATTGCACATATATCCCCAGGAATTATGAAATTTGTAGTCCAGACATTCTGAATTGCACATATATCCCCAGGATCATCCAAAGAGCCATATCTTCCCCCACTGTGATCAATCTTATGACTGCTCACTTGGCTTCACATAACCAAAGGATCTGCAGCAATGCTTTAGAACAGTGATTCTTAAACCTGGGTCCCCAATGTTCTTGGATTGCAACTCCCAGAAATGCTGTCCAGCACAGCAAGTGGTGAAGGCTTCTGGGAACAGCAATCCAAGAACATCTGGGGACCCCAGTTTGAGAACCACTGCAGAAGACAGCCAGAAAATATAAGCAGGAATATAACGAATCATAGAATATCAAAGGATATCTGGCAGCTGGTTGTCTAAATTTCTCTTGAATGCCTCCAGTGTTGGAGCACTCACCACCTATCAAGGTAATTGATAAGAAAGGAGTTCATTAAAGTTCCAAGCTCCTAAGCTATAGCTGCAGCCTGAACTGAACTTGGAAGCAATACATTAACTGATGCAATTCAAACAAACTGGACGTAACATGATCAAAAGACAACTCCCACCAATAACTTGGTTGTCCCAATATGAGATGCTTTTCAAGGGCAGCCCTGTGAACAGCCTATTACAGTGTTCCAATGCCAGACTGATTTGGGCATGCTTATTGTGGCAATATCTATCTTTCTCAGGAAAGATCATAAGCTGGGGGGAAAAGTGTTCTTTGAAACAGAAACCTTTTGGATATCATTAATTCAAAGAGTCACCATAAGTCAAAAGTGACTCAACAGTACATAATAAATTTTCTCTGGACTCCAGTGTTAAAAAACCCCATTAAAGATATTCTGTGTAATTAAAGTCTATAGATAAACTAAGAAACAAAACCAGGCCAGCATACCTGTGTCAAAATAAATTTTACTTTTAATTCCACTTTTCCAACCAATAAAGGTAAAGGTTCCCCTTGACAATTTTTGTCCAGTCGTGTTCGACTCTAGGGGGCGGTGCTCATCCCCGTTTCCAAGCCATAGAGCCAGCGTTTTGTCCGAAGACATTCTTCCGTGGTCACATGGCCAGTGCGACTTAGACACGGAACGCTGTTACCTTCCCACGAGGTGGTCCCTATTTATCTACTTGCATTTGCATGCTTTCAAACCGCTGGATGGATGGAGCAGAAAGGTAATTTAATGGCTCCCCATTAAACACTGGGCTCTCTTAAACACTGTTCAGGAATCTCTAAGCAGTCACAGGTTGGAATGAATTTTCTGGGAACCATGTGGTACATATTCAACATGGTTTGGAAAAGTTCTCTCTCTGGACTACATTTCCATAATCGCCAAAGCCAGCACAGGTATCAGCTAGCTGAAAGGTTCTGGGTTTCACTGAAGATGAAGATAAAATAGTTGTTTAAAACTCTTGCTGCTTGAAACATGTAGTGTGGAGAACATTTGGCTTGTAGCCCCAGCTACATACAGTGTAACCTGAGGATTATTGCCTTGCCCTTTCTCTGTAAAGGCTGTAGAGTATGGAAATGGCTAGCAAGTATAGATGATATGATAAGCTCTCAAATGACCATGGCCATCAAGCAGTAAGCTCTTCAACAGGCCACTTGTGTGGTGCTGGTTGCCTCTTTCCACTCTGTGAAATCATTGCCTCTGTGTTCAGTCTCTTAAAATTTCAAAGGTAAAATAATGCAAAGGCATAGGGATGAATTTGCATTTCAGGCTGATTTTAGGGTTTTTATATATACATATCTACTAATCCCATTTAATCATTGCTGCCACCACTCCTTGCACCACCTAAGTAAGCCTATTTGCAGTTTAGGATAAATAATGTTAATTTCTTCAGGGAAGACAGATTTTCTAACCCACATAATATGATGCTGCTTGGAAAGAGACAAACATTTCACTGTGGCAGAAGAGACAATCTCAAATGTGCAGGAAAAAAGCTTCAGTATTAGTACACAGCCATGACAGGTGCCAAAGGATTCCTCTGTAGTGTTAACAGTTTTGTGCATGCAAAGACCTATTTTGGGCTTTGAAATACAGTATGTGGAGCACTAAAATTATCATTTTTGTATTTTAGGAGAAAGTCATCCCATTCCCAGAATATCTTCACCACTTGGCTATATAGGTCTCTATTTAGGCCTAAATGGAAATGCTACTCCTCAGGATGGGAGCAGGAACCATTCAAAGTGTTGGGACAGTAATTTGGGATGTGCCATTCTTTTTTTTTAGAACTCCAGATCCGAGAATTCTCCATTCTATGACTTCTGGCTGCCAGACCCACACCTAAATTGTGCTCACCTGGGGGAAAGGTTGGGCTGGAAGGCTTCATGGCTTAGGATAGGCTGAGCTCCAGTCTAACTACATGTTAGAGTTCCCAACAAGCACTGGGGCAACTTATTTTTCTAACAGGAAGTTAGTCCAGAGCTTGGCTTGTCCTAAGGCATCAAGCCTTCTAATCCAACCTTTCTCCAGGTGAGCACAATTTAGGTGTGAGTCTGGCAGCCAGGACTCCCAGAATGGAGAATTCTGGGCTTTGGAGTTTAAAAAGAAGAAGAATGGCACATGTCTAGTAGCAATGCTTACCCGCATATCAGTGGTTGTAAGGATTATCTTGCCATATATTTTTGTTAGTAACTCTGCTGGCCCAAGTTTTTTCTACTGCCAGCAGTGCTAGTAGCACAACATGCTCTCTGTGCGCCATAAGCAGCAGACATATTCCCCCCATATAATGTCCCCTTGGGATGCTGCTGCATTGTTGGATAGTGTCTTTGTAGAAGCATTATGGGGAAAAGATGGGTAACAGTAGGATTATTCCAGAATGAAACAGAATCATACCCAGAGTGAGCAATGGGGAGGTTTTATGGTGAAAATGAAGGCCAAGATTTAACCAGTGCAATGGTGTGTGTGTCAGTCTATCCTGCCCTCTATTAAGTTGCCTACTCCTCAATAAAAAGCATAGGGCAGTGATGGCGCACCTATGGCACGTATGCCACAGCGGGCATGCGGAGCCCTTTCTGCCAGCACACGAGCCATAAGTCGCCATATCACTATTCCCCCCGCCCACACAGCCCTGAAATTAAAAGACGCCTTCTTCTTGGGAGGAAAGCGATGACAAATCTTGACAGCATCTTGAAAAGCAGAGACATCACCTTGCCAACAAAAGTCCGAATAGTCAAAGCTATGGTTTTTCCTGTCGTGATGTATGGAAGTGAGAGCTGGACCATAAAGAAAGCAGACCGCCGAAGAATTGATGCCTTTGAATTGTGGTGCTGGAGGAGGCTCTTGAGAATCCCCTGGACTGCAAGGAGAACAAACCTATCAGTTCTAAAGGAAATCAACCCTGAATGCTCACTGGAAGGACAGATCCTGAAGCTGAGGCTCCAGTACTTTGGCCATCTCATGAGAAGAAAAGAGTCCTTGGAAAAAACCTTGATGTTAGGAAGGTGTGATGGCAAGAGGAGAAGGGGACGACCGAGGATGAGATGGCTGGACAGTGTCTGCGAAGCAACCAACATGAACCTGACACAACTCCAGGAGGCAGTAGAAGACAGGAGGGCCTGGCGTGCTCTGGTCCATGGGGTCACGAAGAGTCGGACACGACTAAACGACTAAACACATATCACTATTCCCCCCCCCAGCCAAACCTGAGCAGGCAGCTGCAGCCACGATGCCTGGACAGGCAGCGGGTCAGGATCCAAAGCAGCTGGTGCTGGCGGAGGATCTGGAGTGGGGTCTTGAGGCACCTCTGTGCCCAGGATTCCTCCTTCTGCCATCACTTCTGGTTCCACCAGTGCCACTGCCACTGCCACGACACACCTATCACTATTCCCCCCCCCAGCCAAACCTGAGCAGGCAGCTGCAGCCACGATGCCTGGACAGGCAGCGGGTCAGGATCCAAAGCAGCTGGTGCTGGCGGAGGATCTGGAGTGGGGTCTTGAGGCACCTCTGTGCCCAGGATTCCTCCTTCTGCCATCACTTCTGGTTCCACCAGTGCCACTGCCACTGCCACGACACACCACCCCGTTTTTGGGTCCCCCCCCCAGTTTGGGCACATGAGCCAGAAAGGTTTGCCACTACTGGCATAAGGTATCTTCCAAATTGCTAGCTCACCATGACATTCTTTGCATTTCTCCAGTTACCTGTGCTGGAGGTGGAATATGGCCTGTAAAACTCATCAAACTTTAGGCAGTGCAACAAAAGAAAAGCATGCTCAAGTCAAACAAAGCCAAAAGATGGAACTCTACCTTCATAGGCGCAAGTTGGATAGGTGTGATACACGAAGGATCTACCATAGGCTTTGGCCTGTTGGCCGTGTCTGCGAGTAAACTATGCCACTGCTGAGGTAGTCCCGTGAACTTTTGTTCTCTATGATCAAATCCAGTGTGTACTCTGTGTTCAAAGTTCGAAGGGCCAGAAATTTCAATCTTTTTCTTTTTCTTTCCAAACATGGTGGAAAAACCTGGAGAGAGGTAACAATGAAACAAAAACAAACAAACAAAATCACATTAAATTACTTATAAGAGATGAGGGAAACAGAACATACAATCTTGACCCACAGAAAAAGTATCTAATTAAATGGATTACATTCCATGAGAGTATATGCCCAAGAAAACAGGTTAGTTCTTCAAGTGTTTTGGGTTTCTCTACTGTGAAACCCTGATTAGGGATAGCGCATGGATGTTAGTATGAAATCATTCAAAACAAAGAGTTTTGCCAGAAGACCTATCACTTTAACACAAAGAGAGCACTGAAACTAAATACTTCTGGTTCAACAGCACACAACTCAGTTGCCGAACACTGGTTCCCCCCCTGCTTCTATGATGTCATTGGATTACAATGGCCATCATCTCATTAGCATAGCCAGTAGTCAGGGTTAAAATAAAGATACCACCCAACAACAGTAGGTCACCAAGGATGGGAACCATTGCCTACGTTTCAGGAGAAGGGCCTCAGCTTGATAATACATTCTTTTCATGAAGAAAGTTTGATTTATAATCTTCTGGCATTCTAAGTTCAAGCAAGGGTGGGCAACTGTATCCCTCTAGGTTCCCCACCCCATGGCTACCATCAACCCACCAATAAGGCCAAACATTAAGAGCTCCTGGATCTTGCAATCCATCAAAACCTAGAGGATCACAACTGTTCCCTGAGTTCTAGGATCTCAAGAAACATAGCGCAGAAGGGCCTCTCTTTGACACCTTACAGAAAGCTGCTAATGATTAGAATAGACAATCCTGGGTCAGATGGATTAACTATCTTATACAGGACCAGTTTGGACATGGAATGGGAGATCTGTGATTGGATATCTTAACATTAAAAAAAAAAACCTCAGCAACAACATAGAAGCAGCTGTGGGGAGACCAAATAGGTTTGGAAAAACAATAGTCAAAGGAGAGGGTTGAAACTTTCCCATTTAGCTTAATTTCATAGTCAACATCTCCCGCAAGGGAAAAGTTTATTTGAGGCTCACTGTGGGGATGTGTCTGGAAGCCATGTGTACTGAACCCAAAGAAGGAAACTCCTCGTTGTCCACACTCTGTCCTCTTCTGTAAAAATGAAGGTTGTGAACACCATCTTCAATTTGTACAAAACATACCTGGAGCACAGCAAAATTGGAAAGTGGGACCTTCCAGGTGGCCTGAATTTAAATGGTCAGAAAGACTGTATCCTCCCATACAAGCTTGCCTGGGCTCCAAGATTTCTAGGAAGCATCCTTCTCTCCAAGGCATGCTTAAGCAAGGCAGTGAGAAAGAGCTTAATTGGTAGCTGTTCCCAGATTTTGGAATTCCCTGTCTAGGTAAGTCAGGTTGGCCATCTCTTTTTGTTTATGCAGACCTTTGGCAGTTTAACTGATCGCCCTGGGCTGGGGTATTGAAGGTGATGCTTTTAATTGTATTCTTTTTTAGTACTGAACACTGATTTAATTATATTTTAATATTTGTGATTTAAAAAAAAACTGTACTAGGGTTTTAAAAATTGTAAATTGCACTGATTCTACATTTCTGGAAGAAAAACAGAATATATTCAAATAGACAAAGCAAAACTTTGTCCTGTGATGAACCACAAAGTCATTTTCTCTTCAAGGCTGTGTTGGATCAGAAATGATCGAATTTGTTGATTTCTGTTTCTTCTGAACTTATAACTATCATGTTTGTGCTGGAAATTTCTATGCATTTTTCTGCACATTGTTCCTAACACAGACAGGGTTATACACAGGTCTGCCTTTCATACAGTTTCCCTAAGCAAGCTGTTTTCTCTAAAAACAGGGCTTTTTGTTCTTCTCCCACAAATACAAGCATTTTAATGAAAACTGTCTGGCGAGCTATGTCACGAAGTTAAGGACCCATGAATACCAAGGATAACTGCATTTCACTTCAAACAATAATTAGAGAAATAGGAATTCACTAAGTTTCTCCTGAAACACAAACCACATGAAACACCACCCTCTATTTCACATACTCGTTGAAATCCTGCCACACGTCTTTGCCTGTGCCATCTAAATGATACCATCAGCTGTAACAGATTTCTGCTGATCAAAGGCTTCCTTTCATGATTTTGGCGTGTGCATGGCTTGAACATGCCATGATGAAGTCACATACACCACGAAAGTGCAAAAGGAAGCCTTTAATCAATGGGAATTCAACATAATTCCTGTTGAACAGGGCAGACCCTACTGAACAGGATTTATTTCTCTTATTCATTTTATTATTACTGTGTGCTATCAAGTCAATTCTGACTTATGGTGACCCTTTTCAGGACTTTTCAGGTAGAGAATACTCCAAAGTATTTACCATTCCCTTCTGGGAGCAACCTGGGACTATGAAGCTTACCCAAAGCTACACAAGCTGGCTCTTTACTAGGAAGCACACGTTCTTGACCTCTGGCTCTGAGGTCTAAACCACTGAGCTATCCAGCCAGCTCTGAGGTATAAATGGTTTCAAATTACCTGGTCTGGCCTTTTGGCTTTTGAAATTCTATCTGCCGTATTTAACCTTTAAGTTTTTGTGATATTTTTATATTTTACTTAATTGTATATATGTTGTTCTGTTTTGACCCTTTTTAAAAAAAAGGTGAGTTAGAAAAACATTTTAAATAGATAAATACAACCACTAAAATCACTTTAATAATCTCCTATTCCTTGTAATTATGGGAGAATTTAAGAGTCCTCTCTCCCACCACACTGACGAACTGCTTGCTTTCACATCTGTCCATGGCCCTGAAATAACTTTAAACATTTTGCTTGCTGTTCTTTTTAGCTGCATCGTTGGGCTGAGTATCAGCAAGAGGCTCTCTCTGTACAGCTCCATAGCTCTAGGAATCAATATGCAAGAGCAGCTTCTGGAAACTTAGGTGACCAATGAGCAAGAAATGAATTAGGAAGATGGATAAGAAAAGACCATTCCACATTTTGACTTAACTGGAGAAAGGAAGGAAAATCAGAAACCATCCAGGCTTTGTGTTACTCAAGAACAGTTAGTTCCTTCCCCCAAGTCTGGACTCTGGCACACAGGGTGTAAAAGATTTAAGGCTCTCTGCTTGCAGCATGCTAGGGATTTGGGCAAAAAACAGGGGAAAAAATCTTAATAATGATTGCTAGGCAGGCAAGTGGAAAGAAGGCAAGTGCTGTGGTGGGAGAGGCCAGGGGAGATGGGAAATTGTCTAATGGAGAGTCAGGCTGGAATCCTGGCCTTGATCTGCCACCCCTGCCCTCAGTCTATCTCCTAACGCACCTGATTCATTCTATCTCATCAGCAGGCCTGCCTGGTTTAAGTACAGTGGGGTCTTGACTTCAGAACGGCTCGAGTTAAGAACATTTTGACTTAAGAACCACTCTCATAGGAAAATTCTGGAAACTTAGGTGACCAATGAGCAAGAAATGAATTAGGAAGATGGATAAGAAAAGACCATTCCACATTTTGACTTAACTGGAGAAAGGAAGGAAAATCAGAAACCATCCAGGCTTTGTGTTACTCAAGAACAGTTAGTTCCTTCCCCCAAGTCTGGACTCTGGCACACAGGGTGTAAAAGATTTAAGGCTCTCTGCTTGCAGCATGCTAGGGATTTGGGCAAAAAACAGGGGAAAAAATCTTAATAATGATTGCTAGGCAGGCAAGTGGAAAGAAGGCAAGTGCTGTGGTGGGAGAGGCCAGGGGAGATGGGAAATTGTCTAATGGAGAGTCAGGCTGGCATCCTGGCCTTGATCTGCTTCCCCTCCCCTCAGTCTATCTCCTAATGCACCTGGTTCATTCTATATCATCAGTAGGCCTGCCTGGTTTAAGTAGCAAAGGTCTGTGAGTGACTTGTATTGCCGGGCATTGCTATGATGTCCTGCACACCTAGGAGCCAATCCCATCTCTGATCCACCTGAGGGAAAGTCTGTGAGTGACTTGTGTTGCCGGGCATTGCTATGATGTCCTGGACACCTAGGAGTCAATCCCATCTCTGATCCACCTGAGGGAAAGCACCTTAGAACTAGATGTTACCCAGTAAGAAGTGGCCATTCCTTAAGGGTTAAAAACAATTTGAGAGTAATTCCGAGAGCTTTCCTGGTCTCCTGGAGCTTGCAACTTAGCTTGCCTTGTTTTGCGGCTGGTCACCAGGAGTAAAACATTAGCTCAGTCTGCATTTTGACTGCATAATACGTGGAAGGGGCTTAAAACACTTAGTGTATTTTGTTTTTCTAATGATGCACTAGCTATAGTGTCTTATTCAACCCATAGGTGTAACATGTGAAAATGTGTCAGCTGCTGTAGGATGCAAACTGAATAGGTAAGCTTATTGAGGAAACAAATGGAAACAGTATTTATTTCACAGCAGCAACAGGAGGAAAAAGCTCAGTTTAAAATGAATTGCTCCTTCCAGTACTTTATAAACCTCTCACATACACTGACTCTTTAATTACTGTAATAAATGATAATATCTTCACACAGTGGTTGCAAATTACAGTGTATTTTACTATGGTAATATGGTGCACATTATTAACTTACTTAGGACTATTATATCTGAAACTGATTGATTTGCTTGGCAGGGTTTAGAAAGTTTCCCGTATTTTCCAGAATCTCAGTGAGAATAAGGTCTGCACACTGAGATAAGAGCAAGGGAAACTGTAAAAGTGAAACGATAGTATATAACAGCTGTGTCATGTTTGCATATTCAGCACAGGCCACAATGTATTTAAGATAAACCTTTCATTTTGCCAATATAAGTTGCATGGCTCTGTATCTCTTCAGTATGTTTCTCTTGCTTCAGAAAACAACACCCTGCCAACCTCTTTTCACATAATTTTATTCACAGTTTGACGTTAGGTGCTGACCCAAGAAAGAATAAGCTGTACATTCCACAAGACATGGTTTTCATTTTTACATTAGGAATGTCTTCAGGTTTGGTTTTTGTACATAAATCAAGTGGTCCCCCTGATGACAGAGAATCGAATCTCCTTTCATCCCTTACTCCTGGCTGTGCTTGCTAAGGCTGATGAGAAATGCACTCCAGCAACACTTGGAAGGCTACATTGCACATCCTGATCTAGACTCTTGTCTGTTGTTGTATGCAACACAGGGGTAGGGAAAACAGTGCCCTCTAGATGCTCTTTGAGAGCAATCCCCATCAGTGAATGCCATTGTTCATGCTTCCTGGGGCTAATGAAAATCCTGGCTGCCCAGTCTGTATCCAATGGAACATATTCTTTGACTACACAGAGAGGTAAAAAGGGCTGGACATGCTCTTCCAAAGCTACTGTAGACACCTGCCTATTCTGGCCAAATGACCACTTCAACAGCTTTGCTCCCAAGATCATCATGCATTTTATGCAGTTTGTTGTTATACACTGTCATGCTGGAACAAACTTGAAACCACCCTAATAAGGTTTTCAATGTAAGTGAGATGTTTAAGGAGTAGTTTTAACTGTTCCACTCCCGCAGTGAGTTTCCATGGCCGAACAGGGAATTGAACCCAGGTCTACAGAGTCCTAATCCATCACTCTATCCACTACGTTCCACTCCCGCAGTGAGTTTCTATGGCCGAACAGGGAACTGAACCCAGGTCTCCAGAGTCCTAATCCATCACTCTATCCACTACACCACACTGAATATCTCTTGTATTCTGTACATCAAGCCAATACCAAACTTACACCTAGATTCAGAGGAAATGCAGTGGTTTTAAATTCGTCTAAGAGCGCTTCCAAACCAACAGTTAAGGTTTCCATAAATTGACCACTTGCTGCCTTTAAAAACCTAATCTTACATTCCAGGGAGGATCCACAGTGACTTACTCCCAAAACTGATGGATTATTGCTTGATACGGTGTTGGATAAAATCTCAAGTGTGAGAAGTGTTTGGGAGAAAGATCTAGCTTATAATATTGATGATAATTTATGGCCCTCACTGAATGCAAAATTTCCCATGAAAACAATCTCTGCAAATATCTAGGAGCACAGCATTAAAGACGTGTATCATTGTTACTTAACTGTACTTGAAATTAGTCCGATGTATAGTATAAAGGTTTCAATGAAAGATGTTAGAGAGGTTGTGGGGAGGCTGTGGTGAATTGGGCAAGTCTAGTCATAGATGCTCGTTTTGCTCTTTTCTCTTTTGGAAATCTTCATTAAAGATCCTTGACCAAGTCATCCAAATATTCCCCTCACTTTGTCTCTTTTCCCTACATATGGATAATACTGTGTTCTCCTGAAAATAAGTCAGGGTCTTATATTACTTTTTGCTCCAAAAAAAGCAGTAGGGCTTATTTTCAGGGGATGT